TGTAGAGTTAGGCAATATAGGTGAGATGGGCCATTAAGATTTTAAATTACGGGCAATCGCCTTCAAGAGATGTCTATTTAGGTAAAGCAGAATCAACTAAAACACACAAGCACTGTTAGCTTATTCCATTGTGACTAATCTCTGTTTTCCGTCTCCATCTCAGGAATATCAAACTGATAATTTCTAATCTTCTCCACAACGATTTTGCAGATCTCAGAAATAACCAGATGGTAGCCTACAGCGAGCATACATAAGGTTATCCCCGATGCATGAAAAGTGATAAAAACAGATGGTCCTTAAGGCTAATCGAGGGGATTGTAGATGGCCGAGAATAGGTCGTGTTGCAGCTATTAGTGGAAAGTCAGTAGTTTATGACAAATATACATGCTAACTGAAACTAAAAAGACTTGGTGATGCTAAATTTGAGTTGCAGAATGTCTGACTACCAGCAGCATTACATGATTACAACTTATACATTACATGGAAGATAGGAGATACATCTGGCTAAGAGTCAGATATAGCCTAAATACTGGAAGATTTTGTTTTTCTTATGTTTGATATTGATTTTACCTCACTGAAAAGAAATTCTAATAACCATATTCTTCACCAAGTAAGACTCGGTGAGCATGTTCCATCCTGAAAATCTAGATGAAGAAGCCTATAGTGTGGATATAGAATTGTTACATTCTTGAAAAATTTAATTTCGCAACGAAAGTGCCAGAACCTTCAAACAAAGATGTAAATTTAAGTCCAATAGGCACTGTCTTGTGTTCAACTTGTCGTAGAAATTATACAATGATGATAATTAGAAGAAAATTTCGGTATTAACACCACTCCACACTGTTCAATGAAATTTAATAAGATAGCTTGCCAGGCAAGGTAACATACGCCCACTACCAGTTGTCAGAAACGATTACAAAATCTTTATTGGCTTAATAATGAATTTTCAAATAATCTTAAAAAACATCTATAAGTCAAGGCAAAAACCTGAAACAGTTGATCAAGTTATTATCAAATTCAAACATGAATAATGTCTCATCACTGTGCACACAATTGCAATAACTCTGAAACTGTTCATCATCCGAAAATTACCAATATCTAACTTGAATGAGATCTCATCAATATGTTATATCAATATCTAGTTTCATCAAGATCATATAAAAACTGTAGTGTCCCTACAAGCCAAATTTTTAATAAGCCAAGGGCAATAACTCTGAAAACTTTCACTCGATTATTACCAATTCCAAACTTGACCGAGATCTCATAAATATATAGATGCATACCAAGTTTCATCAAGATCAAGTAAAAACTGTAGTCTCTATCATGCCTACAAGCCAAATTTGATGCGTTTTTACTAAGTCAAGGGCAATAACTCTAAAACAATTCATCCGATTATTACCAATTTGGTACTTGACTGAGATCTCAACAATACATACATGCATACCAAGTTTTTACTAAGTCAAGAGCAATAACTCTGAAACCGTTCTTCTGATTATTACCAATTTCGAACTTGTCCGAGATCTCATCAATATATACATGCAGAAGAAAGATCATGAAGATTGGATAAAAACTGTAGCCTCTATTGCGCCTACAAGAAATGTGAACGGACCGACGGACCGGCTGACAGGGGCGACGGCAATAAAAATTGCATTTTCATTCCATAATAGCTCAACGTTGCCTCGATGTGCAAAAAGAACAATTCACAGATAGGTCAATGTTGTTTCCCGAGAGATAAATGGCGCGAATAAATGTCTCGTTTCAAGGGAAGTAACTTTGTTCACATATTTATATATGGACTCACTCCACTAATTCATTTGCCATCTCTTCCCATGTTAAAACACGAAATTCAACCTTCTACAACTTTTTCCAGAAAAACCGTTGAAAGCTTTCCAATATGTCGAATGAAAGCCTGACCAATTCTTAATGTCTCGTAAAAAATTCAATATATGATGACCATGAAAATTTTGAGCTACTAAAATTGAAAGTAGACTACTACCGGTTATACTCATCCGCTAGAGTTTGGCACTTCGCAAAACGACTATTTTTAGAATTAGCCTTCCGCCTTTAGGTCATCATTTCATCATATTATCTGAAAGATAATGCAATTTCAGACATCAAAATAATTCCAAATTTAGACCAAAAATTACCCCAAAAGGGAGAGAGAAAGAAGATTTCTAAAAATAGCCTGGACTACATTCCATATTTAGTAAGTAGGTCATCACAAAAACGTAAACATAACATCCTAACCTCGGAGTTGATATTTTGATGTAGAATGTCGATCGTAAAAGACATAAGTTTAGATATTACTTAGGCCCTGTTTATTTTCTAGTAGATTAAGCTAGTGGAAAAAAAACCTCTTGGGAAAAACTTGTCGAGCAAAGAGAATCGATTGAGACATATACAAGCTAATAAAATGAATGCGTCAACGTCAAGAACAGTGATTTGAGTCTTATAAGAGGTAAAGTTGAATAATCTGGATGTCCTCGTCGAGCCAGTTGCATTAAAGATTTCTGGATGGCGCTTGAGAACAGCATGAAACCAAAACTTTCCCTGGCATTTAATTTTTGAATCCACGAGGACAATGTTTACTGTACTGTTTGGTACGTCCATATCCAATCTTCAAAATAGGGTTTTGCTATCAAATCATTTGAATTTTATGACTTACTAGTCATGACATTATAAATCCATACTTAATCAAATATTATCCGACATGAAACGACCAACGAAAACGTGAAACGACCAGCAACTGACCTGGAAAACGACAGGAAACGACCTTTCTCGAACTTCCAACTAAGAAATATTGGCCCAACAAAATTAAAAAAAACAATGGTGATTTAACTAAGTGAATAGAGTTCTTTACCCCAATTTATATAAACATAAACAAAAAGATAATTATGGCAATAGGAAAAAAAGATGGACACATAAATTGAACAAAGGCTTTGTAATGAGAACCTGTTATAAAATACGAACAGAATAGGAAATCCATCTCACAAGCAGGAGTTTCTTGACATTTAGGTTGAGATTTTTGCTGTATTGTATGTTGGTATGTGAAATTTATTTTTAAAAGAAAAAGATATTTTATCCGTGGTTTCTGGAATGAATGAAGATGTCACACTTTTAAAAACGAGTTTGCCAGGCAAGGTAAAATACGCCCACTACCAGCTGTCGGAAATGATAAAATCTTTAGTGGCTTCAATTTGGCGCTCCTTCAAGCCAATTGACAAAATTATTCATGGATTGCAGTGTTGTACGAAGAGCTGAGAGGAGCACTTCTCAAGTCATGGAACAGCCGGAGAGAAGAATGGTTAAACGCACAATCATGACACAAAATGGTTTACAAGGTGATGAGGGTGATGAAGAAGTTACCGCAAGTGTCATGGTGACAGAGGAAAGTGTTTTTAGCAATGTAAGCCTTTTTTCAGTCCCCTGGCCACCACAGCCTTTTTTCACCCACCCCGTAGCTATCCCATAGCACCGATATTGCTAATAGATTTCAGTGTTGGTTTACAGTAATGGAAGATTTGTATGCTTTCATGATGATAGCATTATACAATGTATTTATCATTATACACTTCAGATTTGCCATGTTTGGAAATTGTTTTCAGAGATTGAGAGATTAAATATAAAGAGTTATTGTTAGTTGTTATTTCGTAACCATTGATTCTAAATGAGCTTTAATGCTAGGTTCCCACTATTCAGATTTGCGGCAAGATTGAAATCGTCATGTAAATTGTAGACTCTACGATGACCGAATTCAATTGCCAATTAGGGATCACCGTATAATATCGAACTGTATCGTTACAAAGCGCGACGGATTGCAACTAATCGTGCTTAAAAACTGTGTTGATAGGATGGGCCATTATGACGTAACGCCGTACGATTTTTTTTTGTAGCAGAAAGTCCCACTTCAGGAAACCAGTTCTTGTCAGCTCGAGACCCAAATCGGAATTCAAGCTAAACAATCCTATCGGAGCGTATCAAAGCACAAACCGTACAATGACAAATTGCCAAATCGTAAGCATATCGTATAGGAGCGCAACAAAGTATTTTGATTAAAAAAAAACCAGATATATCAGAAAAATGCCAAGATCAGCTTCGAACAGCCAATCGTTGGAAACAGATCGCACAACAGTGGGAACCTATCATAAGCATTAAATACATCAAATTTTGTCAACAATGATAATGGGAATGAAAACACAATATTGTAAATGTGTACTCTTCAATTATTTATATTTTAACTATGTCTATTATGCAAATGTCAGAATCAAAACACATTACTCTACTAATGGATTTGTATTTACATTTGGTAAAACAAGTCCCCACTATCACAATCGAGTTAGGATTGAAAATCTGGTTTTCCTTTCTGATCTTGAGCAATCGCAGCATTCGTGTCGATCGTCGACAAATTTTGATCCGTTCTTAAAGTTTCTATTATTAACTTTAATTAATTAATACAAGTAGATTCGCCCACGAGCCCAATAAATCGCATCAGAACGTATAATCCGATTTTGATGCACATAGTTCGTGTAGATCGTATACAAATTTTGGAAGCGTTCAAAAAATTGATAGAAAAAATTGATCTGATAGTGTTCTTTAACATGGCAACCCTGTTTACATCGTGCCCCGAAACCTGGTAGTTGGAGAATCCCTAGATTTCATAGAAGAGTTATATTGTTTCAAAATCATTTTATTTCTAAATTTAAACATTTAAATTTGTACAAATATTTGAAAAGTTGAAAATGAAATCGAAATTTATGCTGATCTACCCAATTTTGTGAAAGCTAGAGAATGATGTGGCAGGTCTTTTCTACATTTTCCACTTTTTATTTTGAATTAAAAACTCCTATTTTCACCCGGTGATAATTCCGGTAATTTTTAATTAAAAACATTTTCAACAAGATTCGTTGAATTATCACCTAGGCGAAAATAAATGTTTTTCAAAATTAAAAGTGAAATATGTCGTATGTGAGCCACCGTAGTTATGATTTCACTGATCTCATTTATGTTCTATATAAAATAGAAAGGGCAACAGTAGTTACCAAAGTTATAGTAAAGAACAAGAAGAAACAGCATTTATCAAAACGCTTGCTTATTTCTATTGACACGGCTAATGTGGAAACGACTTGGCTCTTTTCGCTAGGGTCTATGGCTTTAGAGTTCTTGCCACTAAGTAATCGTGTCATCCAATTAGGTACTTTTTCTTCTTTAGCTTTCTCGTAAAGTTTTAAACTGAAAACCGACACCAAAATAATACAAGCACAAATTACCATCATAGCACAGAGATAAACCAAGAAATAACAGTTTGTATCTGAATTTGATGGCAATGATTCGTGTATGTAGGTAACATAGACAGCGTAAGACAAAAAACTGGATATAGACATGGTCATTCTTTCACCACTTTCAGCTGGTAGCAAAAATACAAAGGCATTAATGAAAGACAAAGCATAAGATGGGATGACACTCTTTATAAGGTAGAAAAACCATCTTCTTCTTAACACAAATCTTACGAAACCACCCCTCTTTTCTTGTTCGTACAATGAAATTGGCTTACTTGTCAAATTCAACAGTTCCCATTCATTACTAGGTTCGAATATAGTTAAATCATCAGACAAAGCACATATTTGTACCTCGCTGGAAGTCGATCCAAGTCGAATTTCACAAATTTGCGTATCGAATGGAAATCTTGAGATATCTACTCGACAAGTCGTTTTGGATCGTAATAGTGGAGCAACATATATCTCGCCGTCGCTACTTATTTTAGATACACCATTGATCATATTTTCAGCAAGCGTATCTTCAACAGCATTTGCAACAATTATAGGAGGAGTCCAAATAAGTTTGCTTGGTACGTTAAAATAATCATTTATATTTCCATCAGAATTCCATCTAAATAAGTTATCTTGCCAAGCAACCTGCAAATATGATAAGGTCTGTAATGTCTGTTCTTGCGCGTTCAACCCAGTAATTGAAATGAGTCCGTACACCACCATTAGTTGTATTCGTGAAGAACTGTTATGTACGGGAGTGATAAATGGATCACACTTATCTAATAAACTTCTTAGAAGTGATGATTGATTAGCTCGATATTCTTCTTCTGCTTTGTATACGCCACTATTCCTATTAGATATCTCGGCTCTTGCCAAAAGTAATGATAGCAACACAATGAAAAGAGTTTTCATTTCGACCGTTTTAGATTATCCTACCACGTAGCTATCTCTACAATCTACAAATACATCACGAGCTGTGTTAGCGGAGATAAAAGAAATGTTAGATTATTCAGTTTACATACATTAATGGTACCTGATTGACTATATTTCAAAACCGACTCATAATTACAAAATAAATATTTCCCTTTGATCGAGCTGATCATGCTATATAATTCTCATACAATTACTCCTGTTCTACAAGATTTATAGACCATGTAAGGTTTGATAGTAGGATTAGGATATAGGGAGTCGTATTGCTTAATCGAATAGACCATTCAAGCACGAGAGGTTTGGAAGCCAGGAAATCTAATATACAACTTTGATTCGAAATGCATGTTGCATTACTGTTCGTGGGCATTTCTCAAATTGTGGCAATGATATAAACCAACATTAAACAGAGACCATAATATAAACATGTATACTGTTGCTTTGCCTTGACTCAATTTCTCATGCCATCATGACAAAATATTGGAATTGTCAGCGCTCCTAAACAAGTGGATGCTTAGCAAGATCCTCCCACATTTTCATTCCAATCTGCGTCTACTCATAGCCTACCAAAATCTAATATGTGCAAGATATTGTTTATTTAAACCGACACACAAACTTTCAAAAAACACACAAAATTTAATAAAATGACCACACCAACTTTCATTTAAATCGGATGAAAACTGTAGTCTCTATTGTGTTCACAAATACAAACAAATTTCATTAAAATCAGATGAGAACTGTTGTCTGTATTGCGTTCAAAATCAATTGTGGACACTATAATGTGGGCGTATAAAAATGACAACTGTGCAAGATGTTCAAAATTAAAACTTTTTTGAATAATAATTAGATGCTGGTTACTTTTGATACTATTTTATTACTATTGTTATTTAAATATTGTCTCCTCTAGTAATCACTAATATACTCTTAAAACACTAACATTCACTTTAATGTTCAGTATACAATTACAACATTACTACCAATGATATTTACCGTCTAATATTTACATTCCTACTATCACTCCCTTCAACTTTCTGTTTTTCATCCTCCTTATTTATATTTATCCTTAATTATCCTTGTGCATATCCCAGCTTATGTGCCACGTTTGCATCTGTCATTCTGATTACTAGTTTCTATTACATCACGGCTATCTCTCGCCATAGCAACCCTTCCCGCCCAAGGCCGCTTATGGACATACGCGCACCTGTATCACTACAGTCATCAATATCCCCCTCTTCCAACTTATCATCCCCATCCACAGTATCCCATCAACATCAACAATATTACACCAACAGTAGAATGGACAATCGACTTCAGCATAAACCGAAAACCAAACCCTCACAAAATTAGCTAAAATGCTGATTCTCCCTTAATCAGACTGTTCTATCAGATATTACAGATCCTACATCACATGGCTATTATGAAATCCCAAGTTAGCCTCTTCATCTAAACCTTTATCACTGCCACCCTCACCCAAATCAACTTCAACCAGGAGACCAGTTCGACCAGACCACGTCTCCATGACTCTAAGAATAAAGGTGCATGACACTTACAACCCATTACCAAACCAATTCTCCTAATTGAATCCTCCAATGAGCAACATTCCAAAAGGTCAAGAGGATGTCCAAATAGAATCTTATCTAGGTGGTAAGATATGGCACATCAAGATCTACCTTATTCTACATATTGGTTTTAATAACAGATCAGAAGACGGTAAGGGTAGATTTAACTGCGTCCAAGAGTTCTAACCAACACCACAACACATGTTACTCATATCCCCACAGCATCACCCCACAGCATCAATTTTCCAATCAAAATTTAAAAACAAGAGCAAGAACCTTCAAACCTCATAGCCAGCCAACCACCAATTGATATCCATGTCATAGAACCAGCACCAGAACCAATCACAGTTAAGAATGACATTATACACTGGGTTCCTGAAACGGCAGACAATCTCTTCAACCACTGGATCAATCACCTAAATCCTTTAATCTAGAAACGGGGGGGTCTAGTTCCAAACACAACACAATTTGGTAAGGATTGTGAATTTAAGCCACAAATCCCTTACCTTAAACGACGAAAAAGTATTGGATAAGGGAAGGGTCTTAATAACATGTTAAATCAAATCTATACTTTACCCAAAATTTATAAAGACCCAGTTACTGAATGGTTTATTCCTTATCAAATACCAATCAACTCTGATTGTTCAAGTGAGTCCTACCGTGTCTCAGAATACATTGATCATTTCTTATTACCTTTGGCCTCAAAACATCCATCTTATGTAAAAGATACCAATGACTTTGTTTTGAAAATCAAACAGTTGAAAATACCCCAAAATTCTACTCTAATCTCCCCTGATGTTCAAAGCATATACACTCGGATAGATACTGTTTCTGGTCTCCGCGATGAAAGATTTATTATTGCATGATTATTTTATTATTTTAGTGGATATCTGAGAAAATATACGATATCATGTCTCAGGATAGTATTCTATATTGTCCTGTATTTGTGATGGATAAAGATATAACAAAGGTTCAAATAACCATTACTATAAAGAAAGTTAGATTAATCAAAATAGCCAATGAAATAAATATAACAAATGCACATTTATTGATATTCTTGGCTGCGAACTTGCTTTTCTTGGCTCGGTTAAATATTCCTTCTCTCATGCTATCCTGGGCTTGGTTAAGGTCTTGTCTCATACTATCCTGCACTTGGTTAAATTTTCCATCTCTCATGCTATCCTGGTGATAATCCCTTTCTGTACAGGACACATTTAGATAATGGAGGTACGAAACAATAACTGACGTGAAAGTTGCCAAGGCACTCAAAATTAATAGAGCTCCAAAATAAATACCTAAAATAGAAACTTTGTCCGAATTGTCTGGTAAAATTCCAGAAGTTAATGTCATAAGTACGATATAAGAGAGTAATATAGAAACGGAAAATGATATTTTTTCACCCGATTCTACAGGTAAAATAAACACTAAGTTTGATAACAATGATAGAGTTACCGTGGGAACAATAATTATCAACACATAAAATGTCGGTTTTCTTTGAAGGGCAAACACTATCTGTATTGTTTGGCTATGTTGATTGTAGTCTGAATGATTGGTAAATAGTTTATCCATAGACCATTGAGGACTATCGCTGTAGAAGACAGCGTCAAATTTTGGAGGTTTTCCTAAAATCTGTATTCGGTCCGTGTCACCATTCCAAGAAGCAATTGATACTTCACAAACCTGTCTATCAAACGGAAAATATTGAATATCCATTTTACAAAATATGTTATATCTTCCACCTGGAAACCAAGATACATGGCCATTATGGTCAAGTTTTATTCGGGAACTTACTTTCTCCAAAATACCATAGTCATCCTCACCATTAATTATAACAATATCCGGAAGCCAGATTTGATTTGAAGGTATAACAATACTAGTTGTGTTATACTGTACTGTGTCCCAATTTAGAAATTCGTCATACCACGTTATATTCCACCAACCCGTAATAGACATGACTTGACTTTTTTCATTTAATCCACCAAATGCAGTCAAAGCAAATAACACATCGACAGAGATAGGGTCTTCATACTTGGATCTTGGACGAATTAGTGCGGTGTAATTCCGTAGTAAATGTTTTAATAAAGACTGTGGGGTACAGTATGCCATAGTTGGTATAAATACCAAAATAAGTACTATACGCATTATGTCCGATAATTTGTTAAGACTAGTATTGAATAATATCTGTCGCAAAGCAGAACGGACTAATATCCTATTAATGTATCGATCTCGTTAAAAAACAAAATAAATGCTTGGTTGAAATTAACAATTACAATTGTCATTACCGTTACTATCCAGCGATTTCAGATAGTAGATTTATTAATGCAAAGTAGGAGGATTGATTGAGCTATTATTGATAGACAGCTCCACGGCTTTCAACCATTCTGTCTTCAGTCATTGACCATATTCTGGTCGGATCCGCCAAGACTATAAGTACATGCAAGATTAGTGTGTGAGTGAAAAGGGACGAGCAGGGGTAAACGTTAACCAAAACTAAATACACTATGGAGCCATGGGAAATGTTTTGTCAATAAATTGATGGCTTATCGTATTTGCTTACCCAACATGAAACTAAAAATTATATGTACCTACACCATGTTATTTTTCGTATTCGCGTTTTACACGATAATTGCAAATTTTCATACCATCGTTGACACCTTCTGTTGGTCTATACGTTTGTTCATGTCTTGGTATTTAGCTCGAATAGGACGTGCCCACTCTATAGGGACTACAGTTCCTGATAATTCATAATTTTTCAGCTACTCAGCATAAGCCTTGCACGAAAGCACCGAAAATGACAGGTAGCAATATTTGTGCTCAATAGTACATGTTACCATCTGAGCTTCATTAAGCCCTATTTTCAATTATTACATGTATTTTCATTATTTGGCAAGTTTGTATCATTGTGTTGGAATGTTCAACTCCTTGAATAACTTTCTCAAACCTGGCTATAATTTCTTTTTTTTTTTGTTCAATTCTTTAAATGATTGTATTTAATTTGTAGACTCGTAGATCCAAAATCAATTGAGTATCTTTTAACACCAAGGATCTACTGTACAGACTGTAGATGTCGTGCATCTGTTATGAGGTTTAATAAGGTCAAATACGTTTCTTATGCAATTTGTGGACGTGCGTTATTTATGTTAACAAGCCAATAATTAAAAGGAAACACATTTAATACACTATCAAGTTCAAACTACTAATCTCTTTTAATTAACACTATCAAAATTATCCAATTTTAACCAATTAACGTATTTTATTTAGGAAGAGGTGATATTTACTGTAAATGCCTAAGGCATCCTCACTCCTTAAACTAGTTAGTTGAACTTTTTACATCAAAATCTACAAGTTAGTAATGATATGATGCCCAAACCACGAAACACCATCGTCATTACTCATTTGATTTGAATATTTAATTGGACTGTTTCACAATACACAGTAAGTACATTGTTTTATGGTTTTAGAATAATTTATCAATTCAGTTATAACCCTTAGTATTTCAGTACAAGACTGCCTCCAAGACAGTACACGTATAATATCATCTTAAACAATCCTTATTCGAATATAACTTCAGGCAAAAGACCCAGAAACCCTAATAATTTTCGGAAATCCTTATGTATCCGGCTTGAAGTTTCAGAAAGGGGGCATTGTAACGAATGTTAAAAGGAGAGAGTGTGGACGTTTCTCTCATAATATTAATGAAGGATAACATTTTCCATGTTTATTTTACGCCTTAAAGATGACAGGAAAATATTAATGCAAATTAGTGCATTTCTTAGGCGTCATCATGTACGCAACTGTATCGTGAAATGGTCTATCGTGGTCTGCGCCTGGCCGGAATGTGCTGTTTTTCTTGTCATGTTAGTAGGAATAGCTTTGATTTTGATTTAATTTAAAGATTCTCTTAAGAAATTCTTCAAATTACCGAATAAGTGAACAAATTATGTCAAGTTGATATAAAGATTATGTTCAAACTATGTCATGATAAGGTATATAGATGTAATTTGTATTATTAACAAATTGAAATTAATTAGCTTAAAGGCATTAACCATGTTCACATATATTAACAGTCAATGATTTATAGCTTTTTAACCGGAAGCTAAGAATCACGATTTTCGCCATTACAACATTCTCATACATTGATTTGAGATCATAAGGGAGACTTTTTTTTACTCTTGATTGAAAGAAGGCCTATTACTTTAAAGGGACTTTGCAACAACCAGTGGTGGCGCTCCTAGAAGAATGGTTTGTACCTACAATTGTACCCCACTTTAATTCTAACAAATTTAAAAATATCATTTTTATACGCCCATCTCTCTCTATGTGGACGTATATTGTAGGCACCCCGGTCCGTCCGCCCGTCCGTCAACATTTGCTTGTAAACGGTCTAAAAACTAGATTTTTTGATGAAATTCGGTATGTGTATACATATTTATAAAACGAAGATCAAGTTCTAATTTGAGCTATTTTCGACCGTTAGAAGCAGAGTTATTGCCCTTGCCCCAAAATCTTGAATATTTACCATACTCATGCCGTGGTGGGCGTATATGGCTGTGGTCCACTATCTTTTATATGTTGTTGCTCCAAAATATGTGTCAGAATGCACCAAATCAATGTTATTTTTCTAAACCTTTCTGTCAGTCAGTCTTCCCCTATTATAAATCCATACAGAAATACAAACGAGAAATAATATATTGATTCTATTTTTCAGAAAAATGTTCCGTTTGATTCACATAGTCATAGCACTGACACTATTTCCATACACTCAACAACAATTCCGTATGCGATTAGATTCACCAACAATTGGACAAGCAGTAGAACTGGCACACGTCCTGTTTGAAGACGAAGAAAGCGAAGGTATTAGTTATAGAAGAGATTGTAGATTACTTGATGAAGATGAGTTGAGTGATCTATTTGGTGCAGTGCAAGATGCTAAAGATGACACTGTAAGAAAAGTTTTACATTTATCTCAGAAATAAATAAGTATCTGGTTGAAGTGGAATTGCTTAGGTAATGAAATTAAAGTTGTCGGCAGCTCTTTCAGAGAGTTCGCAACTTATGTCATTCGGTATAATTAGGATGAATTATGTGTGCTTTGACCTGCATGTGTTGAAATAATGTTGATATTTATTTCAGACAGCAAGGCCTAATGTATTGGATGCCTTTTCATTCCTTCATTCTCGAAATGAAGTAAATTCCGGAGCACATGGTGGTGTAGGATTCCTTCCATTCCACCGAGTATTTTTATACTTGTAAGTATGTCAATATAGATTATGAAACTAGAGAGAGGGAAATACGTTGTCTGTCAAGTAACGATTGCAATATTGTTTGAAAGGTAGTTATTATACTCATCATATACGAAGCAGATTATCTTTTTATTGACAATAGTGGGAGTCAAATCACAGGGTTATTATAAAATATTTATAAGGCGAATGGGATAATATTTCAAAAATCGAATAGCATATTATCTTCATTTGATATATGATTGGGCTTCCTTTAAGTCAAATTAAGAGTTTTATGCAATCATAATTGTCCATGTATGTACAGTCTGGATAAACACAGGAAGACTTTGAAATTTCTTGATCATTGGAATTTTGATATTAATTCTCTTCTAATTTAGCTTATTATGAATTAATTGTGGACGTGTGAGACAAACTGGTATTTTCCAAGTCATTTGAACACCTTTACTTTCTTTTCATACCATCTTTAAAACGTAATTTTTATATATCGAGTGGCCCTCATAAAACGCTAACTTTATAGGTAGAACTTCAAATGGTTCAACCTAGAAAGTTGTAATTTAATGAAAAGATGTCTAATATCCATATAAATATGAGGTTGAAATATTATGATGATAACTTTGATACTTGTTGAAAAATCCAAAAAGTTGATAATTTTCTGGACAACCCGTTATATAGTCTAAAAATAGTCTTTGTTCTTAAAGGATTCTTTTATCGGTGCAATTCAACATAAAGTAATTGATAAATGCAGTTTATTCCATTGTATATGATAAATGTAACAGTAATATTATGCAAAATCATCAACCAGTAGGTAAATTTCATGTTGTCGTCGCCACCATATGAAGAGACCAATCCGTTTAGCTTCATTTGACCATGAACATATGAACTACAAAATACTGCAGTAATCATTGATAGTCCTATTATTCAATCTAGAATTATTCTAATTTCAGATATGAAAAGTTACTGCGTCAATACAGACCCGGGGTGAGCTTGTGTTTTTGGGATCCAACTTTAGAACCAGAAGACTACGAACAGTCAGAAATTTGGGGTGACCGCCTATTTGGAACAGCCCGGGGCATTGTTTCAGAGGGATTTGCAGCCAATTGGATGACCCCGGTTGGTCCTCTGATACGAGAGGTAGGACGGACTGGAGGAACTGGTAGAAACGGAAGGACATTAAACGAGAAGGATATAGAAAATGTATTGAGTAAGAAAAGATTGGGAGAGATATCTTTTCCAAATGGCAGGTTGTCGGAAAATGTTGAAGAATTACACAACCATGTTCATCTTTACATTGGTGGATTAATGGCTCAAATTGAAACAGCAGCTTATGATCCAATATTTTGGTTTTACCATGTATATGTTGACTGTCTATTTGAAGAATTTAGAGAGAAGCAACGAAACAACACTACACCACCGGTAATTGATCCTGAATTAGACTGGCCTTATGATTATGCTGAACCAGAACATGCACCATTCGGTCCAATGAGATTAGGGGCATTGAGAAATATTGATGGACAAAATAACTTCTTCTCTGATAGAATTCGTTGTGAGAAAGTTCCCAGCTGTAGAAGTGACAGAGATTGTGGAAGGTTTATGAACTGTAGGAGTCGCAAATGCATCTCTAATCGTCGACCAAGAAATAGGTCTAACAATAATATGTTTGGGGGATTTATGAACGGCCTCGTTGGACCACAAACTTCAAATCCGATGATTCAAGCACTGCAAGGGATGGGAATGATGGGCAGAGGAGGTTTCCCGGGCATGGGTGGTAATATGGCTGGTATGTTTGGAGGTGGAGGTGGTTTTCCAGGAATGGGAGGTGGATTTCCAGGAATGCCTGGGATGGGAGGTCAAGGTATGCCACAAATGGGTAATCAACAGGGTCGCCTGCAAGGACTGCCTGGAATGGCAGCTGGAGGTTCGCAAGGCTTTTCTGCGTTCGGTGGATTTCCTGGAATGGGTGGTTCTCAAATATTCTCTGGACAAGGTTTCCCAGGGATGGGGGGATCTCAAGGATTTCCCGGAATGGGTGGTATGGGAGGATTTCCAGGCATGGGTGGAATGGGGGGCTTTTCAATGGGTGGTCAAGGTGGTGGTGGTGGAGGATTTCCATTTGGAAAATAAACTTTACTCTGATTGCTACGTTTTGTCCCGATTAAACCACTAATGATTGTTTTGCTTCTCTGTTAATGTGTTTCTTAATCGGACAAACACGAATATTGGCTAAAGCTTGTTAATTAGCAATACCTTTTCTTTTCGCTTATACCCTTGTTTGGGGTAAAAAAATCCTCTGCCTGCCCAAACACTGGCCGAGTTAAGGAAAAATAAAGTGTTGATAATAAAAAGTAAAATAAAATATTAAACTCTATGATGGTTTAAGCTTTTCAACTTGCAACCCACACCAAAGTTTTGTTGTTCATACTGCAGTCTTATAAACACCCAGTGTGGGTATACAATATTGGCATCGATGTGCCTTGTCATTATCATATCATATTTCTTCGAAAAGTTACACAGGTAATGATGCTCTACCAAACCTCACTTCAGTAAAACTCACCACCATCCGTGTCTTGGACTATATTATTCCTAATGCCCTGTCTAAGGCCCATTGCGTATATGGAAAATGTCAAACCTTAACTATAAACGAAACCAAGACCAAATTGAAGAAATTGATATTGTTCAGACACCAGTACCATTTAGATTTCAGAGAAGGAGGGATTGATTCTCCCAAATGTACAGGCCTAGAGTGGAGCAGACACTTTATTTAGAAATTGGGATTAAGGGTCCTGATACTGGGTTTTTCTTCTGTTCTGATTCTGAAGTATAGTATCTGTTAGGTTATGTATTGATTGTTTTTTTGTTTAATATGAAAAATATTATCATTAAAGTTCTTATTTTTTGAATATGCAACTATCATTTTCTGCTTATAGACATGGGGGAATTTCTCTTGAAGGCTCTTATAGTAGGCACGAACTATCTTGCTTGCTCGATTGCTGGTTGTATTGAACGGGACATCATAGGGTGCTATGTCTACAATTTGGTGAATATTTTGCCCTATAAGTCTTGCTATATTCAATGTCTCAATCCAATAGGCTTCTGGAGGTACGTAGGCACAAAGCCTGTTTATAGCTGCTATCTGTGCTAAAGTGGAATTTTTTTATATTTCGTAAAATTCGTTTAGAATACCCACGCTCTTTCAGTTTTGAGAAAACAATCGTACAGGCTTGGTTGAAATCAGAAGATCTTGTGCAATTTCGGTGAAATACCTGTGACTTAATTATACCAGAAAAGGTATGTTTTGGGTGAAAGGAGCTCTTGTGCAAGAGTTGATGAGTATCCGTTTCTTTGAAATACACTTCAATATTCAGTTTATTTGTTTCTGCTATGGAATCTCCCTTAAAGACAGTGGTAACGAGGAAGTCTATGTCACTCCACCAGATCAACTCCTCGACAAACCAGATCCAAGTCCATACCCAATTCTGCCTTTTCAACCACTTCCAAACCAGTGCCGATCACCACATTGACAACCATTCTATCACCTAACCAAGGACAAATCAACATTGAATCTCCCTATTCTACATTAATCATTAAATAGTCGAAACTTCAATCGAATTAACCAGACTTCTTCATCTTGAGCTACTGAGACTCATTATCATTCATTTTTATCAAGTAGATGAAAAACATGTCCATTTAAATCAGAAAAAAAAATATTCAAACAAGTGAAAATTGGAATATAATTTACTTAATTGCATGTAGTACAGTACAGTCCTTATGTCACTCGGGGATTATTTCTGGTATCAGGATGTTGATGTGATATTTATAAATTTCTGCACTTATTTTCAACAGGGCATTCAACATTTATTTTGTCATGTAGTCTGAGTACTGAATCCAGTCATTATAGAAGAAAATAATCTAATAGAATTTCGAAGAATGTCCAGTAGAATCTCAATCTAGGTAAAATGTAAAATAATAATTGTTGGACTAGCCTCATGTAAAGTACTAAATGAATGAAAAAAAGAGATATAACTTTTCAATGCTTTTCTTTAAATTAAAAAATACAAGATAATGTAGACTTGGTGAATTTGTAATGCTAAAATCTGGTGACTTCTTATTTGTTTGAAGTATATGATTGAGAATGTTACCACATTTGGCTTTCATTATAAACCAATAAAAATCTGTACAAGACAATTCCGCCAATCAACAATCTTGTCCAAAGACTGGCAAAATCGAGAGTAAAGGTAGTTTAATAGTACCATCAGGTGTTTCGAAGCATCGTCTGCTTCGGAAGCGACAATTTCCTACATGACATAAAATGGAAAACCGTACTTCACCAACGCTTTGTATTTTCCTTTTTAGATCTGAGACTTATTTTCACCAATAATCAATTGGAAATAGTGGCTGAATGTCAACCACCCAAACAACATATTTTGTTTACTTGAAAAATACAACCTAGATTTCTAAGATGTTCATTCTGCCTTTTCCATCTTCTGTCTATCTTTTTTGTGACAGACCAGAATCAGTTCTTCGATGTTCCTTCTTGCTACAATGACTTTTGGACACGAATACAGCGGGATTAGATGCGGTCAACTAGGATTTGAATTAGCTCAACTTTCAGGACAACGTCCATTGTAGGAGAACCTTAAGGGAGGTGTACAGCTTTCAGGACTACGTCATGGTAGTGGCACCAATTTCTAAATAGCAATATTATGATGTTGCTGTCTTCAAAGATCAAGACCAGGAGGTTTTATTGACCATCTCTAGATACCGGGACCCGGAGCTTGTTGACTTAGCTCACATGCCTCTTTTGGGCTTAATCATTGTTATAATATGATCCTTATAGACTGTCCTAGATATCGTAGACTAAGACCTAGTCCACACACCTGCCTGGTTTAATCTCAACCAGAATCTACTTTCTTCCCTTCAGTGATCAATGATCAAAATTAAAGTTTGGGTTACATTTATAACTTTTCTTTCTAATTGTTAACCATTACAGATAAACAATTCTTTTCTTAATTGTGATAAAATAAGGTTTGTACAATGCTTTCTTCTGAAGCCAAATGTCGACGACATCTAAACCTATTCAGTTCTTAACGTATGAATCTTAAATATATTCAGCTCAATAACTTAAAACCCCACTTTAAAATTCAAGTGAATATCAATGTTGTATGTTGGAAATAAGAAACAAAAATTCTGGTTTATCTCAAATTCTTCTATTGCAAATATACCCTCTCTTGTCCATTTCAAACTTCACATTTTATTCCACCACAACAAAGATAGACAGATAGATAGAATGAATGAATAATAAATATAAAATGAATGAATGAATTTCTGTATTATATTAACAAGCTTTGAAACCGTAGCGATTATACACAGATTTGTACAGAATAAAATTGTATATGCCATTGTTATGCAAAGTTGAGATCCATGTTTACAAATAAGTCAAATGAGGGGGGTTAGAAATAAAATGAAACGAACGTTTGGATGAAAATGCTATATATATAATTTAAGAAATAAATAACACAAACAATAAAGGAAAATAAATAAGCAAAGAGAAAACAAATTTTTTGATTAAACAATGTTTATGTTGACATGCTGCTGATACATACAGTAATACGGATGATAGAAAATCTCCATCAGGATATAATACCATACTTTGTCATACTAGATATTATTTAATTGGGTTTAGACTATGTATAATATATTCGGATTAGGATATGTATAATGTATTGAGTTTAGGATATGTATAATATATTCGGATTAGGATATGTATAATGTATTGAGTTTAGGATATGTATAATATATTTGGATTAGGATATGTATAATGTATTGGAATTAGGGTTTAGGATATGTATAATATATTCGGATTAGGATATGTATAATGTATTGAGTTTAGGATATGTATAATATATTCGGATTAGGATATGTATAATGTATTGGAATTAGGGTTTAGGATATGTATAATATATTCGGATTAGGATATGTATAATGTATTGAGTTTAGGATATGTATAATATATTCGGATTAGGATATGTATAATGTATTGAGTTTAGGATATGTATAATATATTCGGATTAGGATATGTATAATGTATTGGGATTAGGATATGTATAATATATTCGGATTAGGATATGTATAACGTATTGGGATTAGGATATGTATAATATATTTGGATTAGGATATGTATAATGTATTGGAATTAGGGTTTAGGATATGTATAATATATTCGGATTAGGATATGTATAATGTATTGAGTTTAGGATATGTATAATATATTCGGATTAGGATATGTATAATGTATTGGAATTAGGGTTTAGGATATGTATAATATATTCGGATTAGGATATGTATAATGTATTGAGTTTAGGATATGTATAATATATTCGGATTAGGATATGTATAATGTATTGAGTTTAGGATATGTATAATATATTCGAATTAGGATATGTATAATGTATTGGGATTAGGGTCTAGGATATGTGTAATATATTGGGTTTAGGATATGTATAACGTATTGGGATTAGGGTTTAGGATATGTATAACGTATTGGGATCAGGATATGTATAATATATTTGGATTAGGATATGTAAAACGTATTGGGATTAGGGTTTAGGATATGTATAATATATTAGATTTAGGATATGTATAATGTATTGGGATTAGGATATGTATAATATATTCGGATTAGGATATGTATAACGTATTGGGATTAAGGTTTAGGATATGTATAACGTATTGGGATTAGGATATGTATAATGTATTGAGTTTAGGATATGTATAATATATTGGGTTTAGGATATGTATAATATATTGGGATTAGAGTATAATATATTGGGTTTAGGATAATGTATAATATATTGGGATTAGAGTATAATGTATTGGGTTTATATATATATAATGTATATTATTATGTGTTTAAAGATAGAATATCTTCTCTTACCTATTTTCTTGAATCTTGATTAATAATCTGATCAATCTCTGATACTGTCCAATAGATCTTGGTTAGAAAACAATTGAATGGTAGATTAGAACCACTGGAAATAAAAATATACTATACTGGGCAAATAAAATTCAACAAAGATTGATATCACACTGTTTTGTACTTTATTATCTATGACATAACCTTTTCT